TTAGGGTTAGGTTTAGGGTTAGGTTTAGGGTTAGGTTTAGGGTTAGGTTAAGGGTTAGGTTTAGGATTAGGTTTAGGGGAGTTAGGTTTAGGTTTAGGGGTTAAGTTTAGGTTTAGGGTTTACAGCGTGCTTCTATCTCCGCGCTGTTGTTGTCCTGTTGATGATGTCAGCGACGCGGTTCAGTCCGGCGCGGTTTTGTCCTTCGCCCTTTTGTCAGTGAACCATAAATATGAGAGAGAGTGGCTTTTAGAAAGTGAGAAAGTAATTAAAAGGCTAAACTTTAATTTGATTTTATATGCAAGAAAGCTGGGACAAAAAAAAAAAAAAACCCTAAGTGCTGAGGTGTCTTTAGCTCAAGACTATCCATAGTGCTATGTGTGCAAAGGAACTAGGAAGTAATTTAGATAGGTTGGCAAGATCCCCTTTAGATGATGCAGGACTCGTTTACAGATTGACTTACCTAGAAAGGCTGGGGTGCTACGTGTTTTACTAGGACATCTGAGCAAGTCATCCCTCTGCATACCAGGTGATGCCTGATTTGTTGATGGAAAACTGGGGATGCTGGAAACGGCAGTACTATCAGACTGACGACTGTAACCACGAATGGCATAGCGATTCACTGGGTAGTTCTCATCCAATGGACATACCAGCAGCTTTGCCAATTTGTATTCCAAATAATAGACAGTCCTAGCAAGAGATTCAAAGTAAAGAGTTTGGGTCCTGAGGCATCCTTCTCAATCCTCTTTTACAAAATTCATACTGCAAAATTCAGTCCTGAGAATTTCTATTTAGATTCACCTGCACTCCCTGACTTTCCATCCCAGATGCTTTAGAAAAAGTTGTGATTACTCATGTTCAGATAGCAATGAAGATTTGAATCGCAGTGTCTAATACTTTTCTGAAACCAATAATGCTGCCCATTAAGTGAGTGTTCAGTTTCAACACTAGTCATTTTTATTGTTCAATATCTGAATAAGCTATGGCTAAATGAATAGCTGCCATTGTTGTTTCTCTGAGAAACAACTGATCAGTAAAATAAGTAGATTACCTACCCAATATTTAACAATCTCAAGGTTTCTTATTCACTTCATTTTTGTTGTGTGTAAAGATTTGTCCTCATACACAAAGGAACTTCAACTAATCCACAAATACTCTGAGACTTAAGAACTCAACAGAAAGTCAGTAACAGATACTCTGACCCAGAAGGCTAAGACATACGTAAAGGTCTAGTACTCAACCTTTGAAATGGGAGAAAGCGCTCCTGAGCTAACCAGCTTAGGGCCCTTTCTCTCTCTACATCGGTTGCTCCATAACATGAAGAACTTGGTTCGTCTGGCAAATGACTGGGAGATTCCAAGAGGAAGCCATCTAGCTCCTGCAGCCTTCCTGTAAGTCGGTCATATTGCAATCTAAGAGGAAAAGCCTATATAAAACATAGTTTTAAAAATTAGTTTCAAAGGCACATTTCAGATACAAAAGATAGGTAGAAAAAAGAAGTATTCTTAGTATATGTTCTAAGACAAGTACAAATGAGAAATCCAGTTTATATATTTGGAAAATATTTTCAGAAAATAAATACTTTATTTAGAAAACTTCTATGTTCTTTGATTCTGAGAACGTCTTCACAAAAATGCAATTAATAAGGGAGAATTTGGTTTTCCCAATTAGAAACTGTATCATCAAGCTTACCTACTGTCAAGTATTAAATATTGGCAGCCAATTATTAGTGTTAATTTTCCAATTTAGGCAACTTTGAAATATATATATAGCAACTTTCTTTGGATAGATAGTATTGGGATTTAAATATACTAAAGCTCTAGTATCTCTAGAAATAATTACCGGTACATCAGTTAGAAAACTATAAAATGGAATCTCTTAAAGAAAAGATTTTCCCATCCTAAGTTGACTCTATGGGAAAATCCAAGTTTAAAAATGGGGGGAAGGATAATATGGAAAAATTGGATGTAAGTGATTACATTGACTGTGGACCAACTAAAAGGAGAAAAAAATGAGTTTAAACACTTTGTGTTAGACAATATCATCTATCAGATACAATCCAATGGCAATATTTACAGTCACAACATTTGTTAACAACATTGTTTAGATCAGCAGCCTTTTCAACTTCTGAGAGATCTGAGATAGTAGAAAAACTTGTTGAATCCTTTAAAACTAAAAAATCCTACCATTACGTTTTTATAGATATATGTTATCAATAAATCAATTTAATATGCAAATACTAAGAAACACTTACCCTGTGGTAAGATAGGTGACCAATGAATTTAAATAAATAAATAAATAAAATGAGTGAGTGAGTGGAAGAATTAGAAGTTCCCATACTGTCTAGAACAGGAGTGTCAAACTCGTGTTGTCACATTGTTGTCACGTGACATATCATTTTTCCTCCTTCACTAAAATGGGGGTGGGCATGGCCAGCGTGTAATGCATCCGGTCTGCAGGCCGCAAGTTTGACACCCCTGGTTTCTAGGCAATCGGACAGTGTTCTAGCTTCTATTGCAACAATTTCAATGGATTTTACATTGACTTACACAATAAAAATATTTAAAAATTTATTGGATTTTGTTACATTTGTATAAAATGAACAGTCAAAATAGCATTTTGTTACAGGTATAATAATGTTTTCTTAAAGCAAGAAAGTACAATAAATATAATAGTACAACAAAACTTAAAATTTTCAGATGATATTTTTTGAACTACATATCTAGCATTTGGAATTTGACATCTGGACAACATAAATGGATTATCTGTGCCATTATGTCCAAAACAAACAAACAAACAATACTGCAGCTTTGGAAAGATAAATGTATGACCCCCCCCCCCATTTACTCAATGAATTGAAGACCTGATTACTCTTGCTAGCTACAAGTAGATTTCCTATAAACAGACTTCATATGGATAAGTATAATGAAATATAAAACTCATTTATACATCACACACACACACTGCTATATTCATATGAAATTCCAATTGTATTAGACAACTAGGTATAGATATAACTCTTACTAAAATGACATACTCTTTTTTTTTCTTTTCTGTTGTATTTTTCACTTTTTTTAAAGCACTTTCTATGTGTCTTTCCCCCGCTCAATGTATGTATTTTAATTATTGTGTTTTCAGGGGGGTGTCATTATTTTAAAAAATAAAAGAACAAATATATTTTCCCTCTTTCTTGTCTATTTCTATTATGTAAACACAGAGCCCAGCCACAGGATTTGTTCACTATTAGATGATATTTTGACTAGTTCTAATAAAGATGTTTCCTACCAGTGAATTTTTCTTATGATCTAAAAGAAGTAAAGAAGAGCAAAACTCCTTAGCTCAGGCATGTCCTTCTGACCAAAAACAATAGTCTAAACCCAGATAGCAGCAGGCAAAGTAGTGAATTCTACTCACAGGCAGAGCCAGGAAAGCATTAAAAAAATCCAAAAAGATGTCATCGTAAGTCAACAGTTCTTCTAGAAGCTCATATCCTAAAACAAACAAATCAAAGTCATATGAACAGAAAATTTAAGTTTACAGCCTGCAAAGATGTATTATTGATGCTCGTAAGAAATACCACATCTCAAAAGGTGTAGAGATAATTTAATCAAAGTTGGTTCTAGCCAATGTTCAGGGCGCTTTAAACCTAAAAACTAAGCATTCTCAAATATCAAATTGCAGAAACAAATTAAGTATTTATCAGCTTTAAGTGGCAAAAATTAATTGGAAGGATTTATAGCTGTTTGTAGGATCCATCTATCCAGAATCAACTCAACCATAATTTACAGTTAAGTTAACCCAATTATATCAGTTCACACAACACTCTGAGGCATAAACTTAACCACATGAACGGACTACTACAGTAGTTTAAAATGTAAATGTTAGGTATGTGTGGTCTTTTGAAAATCAGGAAGTTTGCAGGCATCATGTAGAATAAATAACCTCTTTGCTGCCTTCTGGGGCCAACTGGAACCACCTTCCTGCAGGAACTGAAGAATCTGGACATGAGGATTTTGTTCAAGCACCACCAAACGCATAAAGTTGTGTGTGGTTAAAATTACATTTTAAGCACATTACAGTCTTTCCAATATTTTTAAGGAGGTTCTAGTATTCGTTAAGAAATTTTAACAGAGTAACTTCAAAAACTAGAATGTTTTTAAATAAAAAATTGAGATAAACATTTTGAATACTCCCATGAGAAAAGTGAGAATAGAACAATCCATCCGTCTCACTAAGCAAAAAAAAAAAAAAATCCAGTAAAAGTAAATAGTAACAAGCGCTGCAGCAATGCACGGGGAAAGCGATGGTTCTTCTCTATAGCAACAGAATTTATTCGCTTTCAAATAGCAGGACGGATTTGGCCAGGCGTCTGTTTCGTGCCTTCCCTCGTCCAAGGTTATTCACTTAA